TTGTATTATTTTTAATATTGTATTATTTTTAATATTGTATTATTTTTCAAGATAGATTGGCAAATAATTTTGATTTTGTGAACCCATGAAAGGGCCTTGGGAGACACCCAGATTCCTAGGACTACACTTTAAGAAACTCTGGTTTATGTAATTATTTATGATTGCAGCTTTAGTGGATATGTTAATAATGATATGCATTAAGTCTTCACATTATATTTGGACATAAAAGAGGTCTATTTTCTGGCAAGCGACACCATCCAGCTGGGAATTTTTTGTTAAGCTTCTTGGTCCCATCTATGCAGGTGTAAGATATAGGCATGATTCAGCCAAAATTTATTTTGTTTTAGTGGGGGAGTTGTATACATGAGCTAAACGTTTTATTGGAAAAGGAAACTGAATGGTTTTAAAAATTGGGGTTGTTCTTAGGGCTCTGGTGCACAGTTTGGCTTCTGCTTGTGACTGGGAATGAGAGGACGATAACAGCCTTGGTTTGGATCTCACCTATGAGGATGCTATGCGCATTGATCCTGGATGGCTCCTGGTTTTCAGAAGAGGTCAGTGTAAGAGAGTTCCACAATAGGAAAATTGTGTGCATGACCCAAACACAGATTAAGAGTTTTCTTTAAGGATCGCCTCATGGCAATTAACCCTGGCAAAGCTTAGCTATTTTTCCAACTTTACAGCATCTGCAAAATACTAAGCTGTGGCCATTTTTAGAATATCCCAGTCCATTGTGGGCAAGGAGAATCCTAGGAAACACTTACAGGTCTGTTGTATGGACTGTGTGGACTGTTCTAGGCATCTTGTTATATAAGTCCTTTGGATTTTCTCAGAGATAGAATGTGGCTGTATTGGTTCTACAGAGTCACCTGAGGAATGATCTTGCCTGGTTACCTCTGAAGAATTAGTACCTGTTGACTCTGATGAAGTGAACAGACTCCTTGGAAACATGAGTTTGGCCATTTATATTTTAGATCCACATCCCTGCTAGACTTCTAGGAGATGAATTGTGATTAGATTCATGAAAGCTGAATATTTCTTTGCAAGAGGGATAGGCCACCCTATCTTGAAAGAACCAGATTTCTTTCCTCTCCTGAAGAAGCTAAAACTCTACATGGCATGGCGCCAGACTATTTGCAGAACTGCTTGTTTCCAGTCATCTCTGTCCATCCCAACAGTTCTAACAAGGAAAACACACCCTGTGTCCCTTCCATGAAACACCATTATCTTGTTGGATATCCAGGACTCATGCCTTCTCTGTGGCACTGCCTGCCATACAGAACAGCCGAGAGCCTCAACCCTACTTGCCTTTCCTTGTGTAATGAAGAGCTGGCTGTTAAACACACACAGCTGGCTGAGGTTGTTTTATTATCAGCTGAAATTGCTGTTTATGACCTTGGACATTTGTGATTTGGAGTCTTTAAATTTTTAACTTTATATGCCACCTAGAGACATTGCTGTAAGACTGCATAGTTTAAATAAATGACTATATGTCTGCTTTTCCTTTTTTTTTAAAAAAATTCCTGCATTCCTGCAGGGCAGTGTTGATTATATGAACTAAAGAAGAATCCTCATATTTCTATTTGCTATGTGGCAATTCATTCGTACTTCTAATTAGGGCTACTATATCTGGACTGACAAATATGAGTGCCACTAGACAGCAGCAAAACAAATGCATGTGTCCCTTTCCTGCTGTCTAAAGGCTGGTTAGACTGTTGCAGCACAGGTATGGCAGTCCTCACCATTTATCACCTCCCTCACTATACATTTTTTACATTCTTGAAAGAATAGGAACCCTTGCTTACGTGTATCCATTAGAAGCAATTATATCAGCAACATATTTCGTGTCTGGGAATTGCCATCCAAATATGTCATGAACCAAAATCACAGCTTTGTTTGTATCAGAAGCAGGTCGACAAACATATGCTTTGATGTTCTGAATTTGCACTTCCTGGCCACGCCCTTCATAATTCCTCCTTCTTCCGATGTCATACTGGAAAGGCAAATCTCCACTGGCCATTTAAAAAAAAACTGAAAGAGAAACACAATCATTAGTCAAGTCCCACAAAAGCTATAATAACACTAACGGCATTCCAAGTGGTAACAGAAAGAAAAGATTAAAATGAAATCTAACTGGCATTTATGTGACTTTTCAGATTTTGTCTCTTTAAAGTTGTCAGAAAAAGAACAACTCTTACCACAAGTAGGAATCAGCTACTCCCAAAAAATCAGTGAGAACCCTACAGGATGTTGCATCTGACAACTTTGCTTATTTTATTTATTTTTATTTTATTTGGTTTGTCAATTGCTTACAAGATAATAGGTATAAGTAAAAACATAGCTATGAGTACATGGATACATATAAGAAAAATAAAAAGAATCAATAGGACAGGGACGATAGGCACGTTGGTGCGCTTATGCACGCCCCCTTATAAGGAGAAGAGTTGGAGTCAGCAAAAAAAAATAGTTAATTAAAATTTAAGTAAAGCAAAAAGATAAACAACCTGAAAAAAGTTAGAGTTGGTCCATAGAACTGCTGAGAATCAGGCATGTTTAAATGAGTAGCATCAACATTGTCCACTCCTTCAATTAAGAAAAGAAGTCAATGCAACATGAAACGGTAATTTTCTTGTCACAGCCTTGAATCCAACTGTGTTTCCATTCCATTGTTAAAGATGGGAACTTTCCACTTCCTTATTGCTAGACATAGCACAAGTTTGATAGGTAAGGCTTTCATGTTTAGTTTCAAGTTTTGCTATTATTAAAAAATAACAGCCTGAAAATCATTGGGTGCTATTTTCCTCTGCATAAAGATTCTGTGCAGAAATCTTTTGTTCTAAATGTTTCTAAATGAATCGC